CAATTTAACGAATGTCCTAGTTTTAAAAAAATGCAGTTTATAAACAACTAATTGCCTGAATTGGTACCATTTCATAATAGGGGTCTTCATTAATGCTTTATAAAAAGGTTATACATAAGCTTGTAAACACTGCATCGACAAGCATTTATAAAAATATAAAACACTGTTCATACGTTGAAGCAGGCTCACTATTTGACAAAATTGTGTCATACTTTTAGTAATTCAGGTAAATGTARAATTTTGCTTGTTGCTCAGCTTGCTTCCTCAATTAAATAACTTCATTTACCAAAAACAGAATTTGTGTCAACAATAGGGTTGGGTAAAACCGTATGGTGTGCAACTGATCGTCAGAAAAACTGTCACTCATCAAATAGGGAGCCGGCTTCGATGTACAAACAGTGTTTCATAACCATTTTATAAAAGATGGTTAATGCTCAGGGGTAACCTATTTATAAAGCATTAATAACAAGCAAGACCACAGATAGAGGCAGTCAAAATGAGTTTTATCAGCAGGGCAGCTCCACAATGAGAGGAGACAGGTGAAGTCTTTTGTGCATCTGCTTCCTGTACACCACCCCGGGAGGAGTTCCAGGAATGATGGATGGATGAAATGTTAGTAAATCTTTATTTTGATGTGGTGCCCCTAACTTTTTTATCATCATGTATTCCAGAATATCCCAGGTCAGATTATTAAGCATTTCACTTATGAGAAAGCACTTACTGCACAATGTCATTGATAGGAATGTTGAGCAGCTTGCCATCTAGTGTCGAGTGTCGGGACTTTCACAGAGAAGCAGGTTAGTGCCTGTTAGAAAAGATATTAGCTTGCAGCTTCATTGTTTGTTCTGCTTAAAAAAAATAAACATACAATAAACCAGAGACATGACTTACCTTCTCCAGAGAGACCTTAGTTTTGTAGATCAGGTRGTTGCCTCGTCTCGTGAACATCGGATGACTCTCCTGTCGGACTATGAACACAATATCTGCAGGGATGCGGTTTGGTCCCTAAAGGCAAGATAAAATAAAAACAATTAAGATGTGGGACTTAAAAAACCATAGTGCTGTGCATGAGTTGACTTTTCAGCTAAATTTACAAAATCATGTTGGATAAAAATCAGTTTCATAAAGACTCTAGCACATTATGTGTGAGATGAAGTTCTATCACAAATAAATCAGCTGAGACTATCTAAATATGGCAATAGAAAATGCCAACACCTTGTTTCTGAAATTCGAATAAATATCCCCATTAAGTTTGGTTCCAGTGTCTCTATGTAAAACTCTAAAACCAGTTTCCCTTAAAATAAACTTGGTTCAAACTAGTTCAGACCTCAACTGACAAAGAGGTTCACAGTTTGAGTACCAGCCCAAACATTATTTTCACAAAAGGTTCACATAAAAACTGTACAAAATGATAAAATCCAGCTTGTTCAAATGAAAAATCTAAAAAAATAAATAAATAACCTGTCCAAAATAAAACAACATATGGAATTATTTAAGTAAAACAAATTTGAATTTGTTAAAAAAAATAGCCTGTTTTAAGATGTTGAAGAAAATGATCTTATGATGGTGGAYTTAAACTGTAATATCTCTATGCATTTCCACACTGAAATCCAGCCAAGACAACTTGTTTACATTGACAACCCGCCCCTTCCAATATGGCGCTGCGCTGGTACCACAGCTGTCAATCTTCTGAAGTGGGTGTGATGCCTCCAGTCAATACACTTCGTTGGATTTACATTACAAACATAAAACAAAATTTTGCGACCAATTTTGACTCATGACAGAAGATTTAAAGAACTTTGCTTACTTGATCTCCCTCTTTGGAGAAAATGATTCTTGTGCCCTCTCTCCATCCAGGCTGCACTTGTAGAGACAGGATCTTGTCCTTCATGCTGTATGTGTGTCCATCTTCATTCATCACCTGCAACATAAGGAAAAATCATAAACAATGGATTTTATCTGAAATATCTGGCTTTAAAAAACTCAATGATAAGCCCAATGAAACTATGGCTGACCTGAGATGTAGAACACATAAAAAGCACATAATAATAAATAAAAATCTAAAAACAACCCTTTGACCAAACAAAAAACCAAACCAAGAACACAGAGTTTTAGTAATGCAAATTATATTTTGTTGCCTGTTTATTTTTCCATTGGCCTACTATGATAACTGTTTTGTTGTATCTGGWGACACAATATTGTGATGCTATATGTCTATTTATTTTTGTGTTGCGTTTTTTTTTTTTTTTTGGTTTATTCTGTCCACGGTTGCTGCGTCATTTGCCACTTTAAGAATCGCTGTGCTCCAGAAAGCACTCAATGCATGAAAGATTTAAACAATGAAAAGCTTCAGGAAGGAGAAAGATGTGTTCAGTTGACTAAATCAGCTTCTACCCTGCGAGGTATCTTGATCTTTTTCAGGCATCCGTAGAAGAGAGCATCCAGGGACAAATGAAGATACTTTTCTATCGGAGCGTCTTGTGTCTTCACCACCTCGTGTTTGAGATGAAGTGGCAATTCTGGTGTAGAAATGTCTACCACACACACACGCAAAGAAAGTCTAACAAATAGAGTTGAAGTAAAAAAAAACAAATACATGTGACTGTGGTTTTCTCACCTACAAATGGGTTGTCACCCTCAATGAACAACCTGAACGTTTCGTCTGGATCCCCATGATAGGCATATTTTGAGGTCAAAGCTCCACTCTGACGAAACTCAGCCAAGAAGCCAGCTTTCAGACCCTCCTCACCAAATGTATCATAAGTTGCCTCTTTTCCAGCTTTTATAAAGAAAATATAATGTTAGACTACACACATTATAACAATCTACCAGTGGGATTATATAGACATTTCAAATGAGTTAAAAACTTTTGATCTTAGAGTAAATTGTGATGCAACTCACTTGAAAGAAAGAGCATTGACTGGAGGCTGTTCACCTTTACTACAAAATATGTTTTGGATTTATTTATTTACATATATTTTCTGTAAGTTAATATAGTAGCTAACAAGTGGTTTTTGAAGTTTGTGGTTCTCAATGATCCTGCATGTCTTAGTTGTTTCTCTGCTTTGGCACACCTGTTTTAAATGAATGCATGATTGGCAGGCTTCTGCAGAAAGACTTGTTGAAGAGCAGGGAAACAAATAAATAGCTAGCGGTAGATAGACTTGAGAAAGTAACGCGAACAAGCAACAGGAAGTGGACACTCTGGTTGAAAACCTGTTTCCCAGGGTCAGAAATAAAATATTTAACTGAAAAATAAATAAATAATAAAAATAATAAGTCTTAAAAAAGTAAACCAGACAATGATTTTCAGTTAGCATTCACATAATGGTGTTTTTCTTTGTAAACCTTGCAAAAGAGAGTGTGCAATGTGTATACTGAATATAAAGCAATAATATCACAAACAATTTGGAGGCAGGGCACTATTTGATCACGTGGGTAAAATGTGTCTCGTYGTCCAAAAGTGGCCTTTTAACAAACTACAAAATGTCCACTAATGTCCTTKATACAACTTTGAAATCAATCAACACAAATAGAGTATTTTAATAAATTTAGAAATAACTGGAAACAAACAACTCCAATTTTTATACCTATTATTGACAGAAACAGGTCTTTGCTATTTTAGTAAGGCCAGTATCTGAGGTGGCAGACAAAACATAAACGTAGATTTAAATTTTGACATTTTGCCACATAGTTTATAGAAATCTTCAGTTTGTGGTTTGTAAGCAAGATTAGCATATATTTACAATAAAGAATGGCCATTTTTCCTGTGCCACCATTCAAGAATTAATCAAATCTGCATCTTTAATACATGTTGCATCCTAAGGTTGCTCATAATGTTGCCATTGAACTAATAAAAAAATCTTGCATTCTTGGGTTATCACCTCCAAACACTTCATTTGTGCACCGTCTGCAGKGTTTGTGCATCCTCTTTTCATGAGACACTAAATAACTCCAGCAGTGGTGACAAGTGTATTTATTCTTTCAGTTAAAACCAATCCAAAAAAAGATAAAATAAACATTAAAGATGACTATGCTATACATATTGGACTCTCTCCAAATTTTCACGCAAAAAAAATTGCACATCATTGTGATCCAGTTTCTACTTAAAGTGGTACAAACAGCAGACACTCACTGATCACGTAAAAAGGTTTGTCCAGATGYATGCATAACTTGGTAAATCTGAAACTCATTACCATCAGAGACAATATTAAAAGCCATATAAAAGCATGAATTCAATAGAAATAAATATTTCAAGTCATTGTGAATTAAATATGCGTGTTTACTGATCGCTCCAAAAGTAAAAACGAGCAAAAGTGAAACAAAGTTTAGAAAGTGTTCATACAAGATCATATACCTAAAGCTAAGGAAGCCCTCTCTAATTTCACTCCCAAAATCTCTCCATTTATGTTTTCTGTACTGAGTTTAGGTGAAAATCCTCTTAAACATAGAAAAAAATTAGGTCAATGAGAGAACAAAGGGACCAGAAATGGGAATTCAAGAAAACAATTACCCATCTTAGAGATGCTGTGCAGGAGGAGAGGAAGGACGGTCAATGTGTTTGACATTTGGTAGTGTGGTTYCACTGAATTGTATTAATAGTGTGGTTCAGTATGTACTTGTGAATATGTGCTTGTAGAAAGGTGGGAGAGTAATCTCTGCTAATGCAGACAATTAAACATTTAAAGTAAAACCTTAGCTGATTGCTGTGCATCATAGTCATGCAGTGCATGTCTGCTTATAGCCTGAACACWTACTGATTTGAAAACCAGCTGGACATTCATTCCATTTGGTTAAAAAAATAAAACGTCACCCCTTAAAGATAAATGACACTGATGTGAGTCATTACACTTGTCACACCATCTTCCTCTGAAACAACCAGAGCTCTGCAGAAGGACGAGCTCCGGCTGTAAGCAGTTTCAGCAAACATCTGGTACAGTGATAAGATCTGATTAAAGTGATAGGTGGCTTCCAGAGCGTCCCAATGAAAGAGAGGGGAGGGTTCACAACAACAACCAAAAAAAAAAAAAAAAAAAAAACAAGCGTAGTGTTCTTAGTCAGGCTGGATAACAGAGATGACTGTAGTGAAGGGTTTATACAAAAAAACTGATGGGATTCCAGGAAAAACAAACAAACAAACAAACATGGGTGAGAATATTAGCAGGAACATCCTCCTTCACTGGCAGGCTGCTCTGTTGGTTTCTCCAACTTGATGTCGATCACTGAGGAGGTCAGGAGTTAAAGAAAATCACAGGACATGAGATGTACAGGTAGTCAGGGCAGACTAAAACTAAATAATAATAATAATAATAATAATAAAAGAATAAATAAACGTGTTTAAAAATGACATTTGAAGTTGTAGTGTGAAACCTAGATTAACCACCAGATGTCACCCTTGAGAAGCAGATTTCAGTTCAGATTAATTGAATACTGCAGGCAAACTTCAGCCTTTCATTTATCTATTTMGAATCTTTGTTTAATTTTATTTTCAGCCCTAAAACACCATAACACTGAGCTCATTTTGCAATAAATATAGCAGGGGTGTAAAATGCTTCTGCAGAACTTGAAGAGGTGATTCAGTCACTAAATCAGGTGCCTTGGAGCAAGGGAACAGGTAAAATGTGACCCTCCAGAACCAGGATTAGACACCTAAGAAAAAAGGGCATCTTACCCATCATCTCTGTAAAAGTGTCATTTCCAAAATGTCTTTGGTAAAACAATGACAGTGACACCAGAGTTAAATGACAATAATAAAAAACTATATTGCTACACTAGATTTTTTTCCATGGAAGTGTTTATCTATATGACTTATAATGACATGATATTATATTATTTCAGAGTCAGACACATAAAGGATACTGTCCTCTCTACTCTTGTCCTGTGTGGTATCCATGCCAGGGAGGGCGGCTGCCACACGACGGAACAGCTGGAGGAAAGAAAAGAAGTAGTTATCAAATAGAAATGTTACCAAAAAACATAAAATAAAACTTTAAAACAAGCCCATGTGCTGCGTTTGATTGCATTTTATAATTTAGCCAAAAATCGACCTGAAGCTTGCACAGAGAAAAAAAAGTCAAATCAGCTTTTTCAAACTGGATTTCAAAATAAAACTGTTTGTTTTGGAGCTGATTTCAGGACATGCTTCAGATCTGGACAAGAGGCTTAGATGTGACTGAGACACTCGCATCAAGAAAAAAGCTTGGAGGGATCGAAATGACTCATGGATCGATTTAAGAAAAAAATGATGATCCAGAACATGCAGATTCCAATAAACTTCAAGAGGAACTAAACTTCATCACATGCAGGTTTCAGAGAAACACACACTCAGCAGAGCGACGGTCATTGGTTTGCAAACTCTAACCCATTTGGCAGAATTTGAGATAAAAAGTTGGTTAAAACAAATTGTGAGGTCCAGCTGGGAGAGAGCTTGGAAAACAATTTTCTGCACCTCATTGAAAGCTGGCATTCAACGCGGACACGAGCTTCAGGGAGAGAAGCCAATGAAACCAGGGCACGAGCTCCGAACATGCGCACAAACGTGCACAGGCTCTACCTGTTTGACATTGTAGCCCGTCTTTGCACTGGTTTCAATAAACAGAACATTCATGTCTTTTGCCCTTTGCTCTCCTTCTTCTGTGGTTATCTGTCTGTAACGAGCCACGAGCCACAGCGAACAGCACGCAACACACCCACCGGGACACGCACACAGACCACCGACAGCAACAGGTAGACAGAAAGAACAAATACAAAACAAAGAGTCAGTAGATTGAAATACATTGAAAAGCCGTGCCCCTCCCTGCTGCTGCCTTTGCTGCAGATCAAAAGCCCCACGGTGATTTTTAATGCTTCAGGATGTTAGCTGAAGCCTGAAATCTTTAAACACTGAGAAAACTATTAAAAAATGTAGRTAAACACGTGTTTTTGTTGCTTTTACCATCTAAGCAGGCAACTGCTCGCGAGCTCCATTTATAATTGTGAACGCTGGCAGCACATTCACAGTATAAAAACTTTGGTTGTATCAAAAAACTAACAAAAAAAATGCAACCATGTGCAGATAAAACAATAAATTAATTAAAAATAAGAGTTTTAAGGAGGTGGAATTATTAATTTGTGTTATTTTTTACCACAGGGACAACAAAAATGCACAAAATGGCTAATAATTCTCATTCCAAAATCCCTCAACATGTGTTTTGTGTGGAGGAATAACTTTGATGAATCAGCACATTATCACCACCTTTAAGGCTGGTGATGTGTAACAGGAAATTAAATTAAATGCTGTGTTTGATCCTCTCGACAACCAAGTCTCAGGCTTTAAAAGGCTAAGTTTAAAAAAAACAAACAAACACTAACACTATCAGCACAAGTGGTAAAGGTTTTATTGAAATGTTTTTGTAATCTTAATAATGTTTTGTAATCCTCTGACATGATATTTTTTGGTGGGAAACATTTGGAGCTGCAGCTCGGGCAGCAGAAGCAGCAGAGCACGGCTCTCACACATCCTTACCTGCTTCACGTTGTAGCCTGCTTTCGCACTAGTCTCAATAAACATTACATTTAGTTCTTTGGCTTTCCGCTCACCCTCTTCAATAGATACTTGCCTGTGGTAGACAAGGATGTTAAAAAACATACAGTGGGGGGAAGGGGGCAACTTTAACAGGTTGACAAAATCTATCATAAAATGGAAAATTATAGATTAAATAAATTCCCTCAAGTTGCTCTGTTGCTTCAGGAAGTTTAGCGCTAACAGATCAGCTGAGAGAATCAGTGATTTCAGGGAAAAACAAATTACCTTTTGTCTGCAAGATCTGTCTTGTTTCCCACCAACATGATGATGACATCACTTCCTCTCTCWGTTCGGACATCATCAATCCACTTTGTGGTTTGCTGGAAGGAGTTGACATCTGAAACAGGAAGACAGGAAACAGCATCAGTCTTCAGCAGAGGAAAGGCCTGAACTGGAAATCTGCTGAATGTCACAGGATTCAGCCAGCCATCCTAACCTAACGCCAACACAAAAAAATAAATAAAACCAAACATTTAGYTATGTACGAATCTATAAAAGAAAAGAAAATACACTTCTAAAAAAAAACCTACTTGTGATGTCGTAAACTACGACGGCAGCAGCCGAGTCTCTGATGTAACTCGGAATTAAGCTGCGAAACCGCTCCTGCCCCGCCGTGTCCCACAACTGCAACCTGATCTGTGGGGCAGGAAGAGGATGGGACGGAAAATAAAACAGGAGAAAATAAAAAATAAAAAAATAAAACAAAATGGAGAAGATCAAAATAAAGTATGAAAAAAACAGACAAATGAGCCGAGTTTATTTGGCAAAAAGAAAAAATGAAACAAAATAAAGTGAGAAAGACGAGGACAAAGAAAAATCAAAGAACAGACAGAGAGTAGTGCATGCAGGTGACCGTCAGATAAAACAAGCTGTCTGAGCCTGGAGGGGAAAGAAAGAAATAGTCACCCTTCACTTGTCATCGACCCCCTTCCTTCGATCAAGTAAGGTGTTTAATTTTTAAAAATGTGATGAGAGATAGGTGGAGGGGTGGGAGGGAGAGGAAGAAAACTTAAGCAGAAGAAAACACAGTGAAAACGATGACTTCCAGAGGGTACACTATCCTGATCACATTAATGTTGCGTGTTGGAAAGTAGATAACACAACTCCTAAAGACACAAAACTGTTCACCTCGTCAAAACTCAGCCTGTGAGAGGCCTTTAATATCTGCAGCCCTCAAAACAAAGATAAAGAGATCAAATAAACTTACTGTTCTGTCTTCAAGATACATGGTTTTTGATAGGAAATCTATTCCTATTGTGGCCTGAAAATAAAGAACAATTAGTGAAAACTTGTATCTATTTTAAATCAGCATTAACAAACATTTTAACAAATTTATCAATCGGCAGTGAAGACTCACTTGGTAAGTGTTGTCAAAGCTGTCGTACATGAACCTGGTGATCAACGATGTCTTTCCCACTGAAACAAAAAACAAAATAAAATCATGAATAAAAGAACCACACATTCAGTTCTGTTTGGATAGAGCAGGTTATTTAAAATAGCCAAATAAAGTGACTTTCCTGACAAAAGATTGTAAGCGATAACAACAAACTCTGCTTTACAGAAATGTGTGTTTTATCGATGATTTCTTTGTTGTACCAATGCTTCTTGCAATAAATCTTATACTGCTGGAGGGCCTGTTAATGTCCCTTTAAAATGAAGCCACATTTGTAAGGAACATGCATTTGTGGAAAAAGCAGTAGAGCTGAGCATGTGAGTTGTGCACATGAAAAATTAGCAAAATCTTCTCTGCCAAACACTTTAATTTGCTGTTGTTATTGACACTTGATTTGAGCTTCTGGTACCTCCAGGTGCTGCCAGTCAGCTGCCCCGTATAAGATTCATTACCAAGAAGCATTGTTACAAAAAAAAAAAATCTAACAAACAACAATTTCCTTACTTTTTGAGCTAAGTATATTTAATCAACTTCAAAATAAAGATCCTGAATTTTTTTGTTCCTCTCAGACTAGTGCTACACGATCAAGTCTAAAAGCCAAAGAAATCCTATTTATGGACAAAGACCAAAAAAATCTCACATCTTAAAAAAAAAAAAACAGGAAAAAAATCTGCAGTAATAAAAAATATTTCAACTCCAAAATAAAAATTTCATATGACAATATCTATTTATCCATGAAGAACGTCTGCTACAGGTATTAAACAGTAACCCCTATTAATGTAATTTTTGTTTACATTAAAAACATTTATTCTTTACTTTTTTTCTCCAAAATATCCATAATAAGGATTTGGCTTATAAGACTGTTACATTGTTGCTGAGAGGAAACATGCAGCCACTTGGACCTGTGTTCCCCAGCTGTGGTTTGTTTTTGTGTTGAGCTCAGGTTTCAGGATCAGTTGCAGCGTGCATCGAGTGACGGTGACGCGGCTAAAGCCAACACAGCTGCGGGACAACAACTGATTACAAAGCCAACAAACATCACGTCCGTCTGCCTTATCTTGACGAGTCACATAATAGGTTCTGCTACGTGGAGGAACAAAAGCACACTGACTGACAAGACACAAAAGTTTTTTTTTCTTCTTTTAGATTTCTCTCTTGTTTTAATCCCACAGAAAGAATTCACTGATCAAATAAACTGAATCAGTATGACTGCAAACAGAGACGGCTGTTTCCAGAATCAGTTCGTTTCACTGCGTCTCAGTTATAATTATGAAACTTTAGATGTTTAACCATGTTTACACGCCACACATATGATGAAACATTTTCTCTTTATGCAACTATATCAGAACAGTAATAATATAATATGTTACCTTCAAATTATAAAGAATAACTCTATATAATAAAAGGGAAAATCATTTTTGTTTTCTCTTTTAAGTTAAAAAATGTTTAGTTTATCTATTTACCTTGAATATTTACTCAATTTTAGGGGTGTAAGAAAATATTGATACACTGAAATATCGCGATATTTCATTTCCCGATACTGTATCGATATTTTAAAGCCCTGTATCGATTTTTTTATTAAGGTTTAAAATGTCAACTTTCCTGCCAGCCGTTCATTTTAATGTTGTAGTTCAGCCTCTGACCACAAGTTGGCAGCAGTGAGCCAGCCATTTGGCTCCTCTACCTCTTGGGCTATTGTTAAGTGTTGGGTGACCATATTGTAAATTAATATTAAAAACTAAAAGCTGCAAAAAATATATTTTCAAACCGTTTATTGTCAAATTTAGTCTAATAATTGAAAACATGGATGAAATAAGAAATATGAAACAAATAAAATAAAATACATACAAAGCAGAACACA